CGAGGAGATTGTATGGCTGTCCCATCGTTCGCTAACCCCTGGGCTTACATTTCGAGCGGATAATGACTAGTCGTAAATTGACCACCTTTCTATTGCTTTTCTTCGTGTTTCTACGACACTTCCCTGACTGATACGAGTTCTCCTTCCAATCAAACATAATTAGGATCTGATCTCGAAATATCCTAGCACTGCTCCTATATAAGTCACTCTCTGTATTGTGTATGGCACGTAATCCCGTGGGAGAAGATCCTCTAGTTTTACTATTCTATGTCGAACAGGATTGTGACGGGGCTTAGTGTGTCCTCATACTAATCCTCTTGGAGAATCTTTGAGGCCAGAATTGAGTTATTTCACAGCCAATCCTCTTAAGAAGAAACCGTGATATTCAGATTATTTAGTAATATAGAGAAAGGAAGCTGAGATGCTAAACGCCGTGAGCTGATGGTAAGGAATTAAACTTAGAAGCGTAATTATAGAACGGGCTTTAGCGAGTTAAGGAAATTAAGGAAGATTAAGATTCATAGGATAACTTTGCTTAAAGATAAGGGGTTAGAAATCCAGGCGCTTATTTACAGAGAATTTAGGGATACGTTTTATCACTCCTGATTGCCTTCCTATTGTAAGACTTGCTTTGTTCAATATATTTAGATAATAATAAATTGGATTTATTATGGCCAATTTGGGTGATCATTTCTTACCTCCCACAAATCTAGGTCGCATAGATGAAGAGATGGTACCCCCAGGGAGGTGGGCATCACAAGATAACATCTTGCAAAAGTCTCATAAGTCAGCAACACATGAATGATTTTCTTTCTTTCTTTTTTTTTTCTTTTGAAGCTTTATTTTCTAGGAAAAAGTGCATTTAGTCCTACGACACTATTAGTTTCGTTTCCAGTACATATGCTCCACTTCTATTAATGTTAGTCTCTTTTTCAATTCCTACTATTAGTTTACTCTCTCCCTATATATATCGTGTTCAAATTTTTAATCATTAATAAAATACCTTGACCTCTTTCATACAAGTTCAAATACATTTTTTAAACTTGTAGTGGATGACACACTTGACATCCACTACAAGTTTACTTACAGTTTTTTCAAATATTAATTCATTAATTAAATTTAAAAACGAATAGATAGTAACAAACAAAAATAATAGTCTAACAACATTTATAGAAAGGAAAATGGAAAACTGCAAGGAAAATTGCTTTCTATTTAGTCATTTAATATTGTGATTATATCATACGTATATACATATTTATATTAATTGTAACTATTTAATGAAATGTAACAAAAATAAAATTTTTCTTTGTTGACCTATGTAGGAATCGACTTAATTTTTTTTATATATTACTTGTTAATAACTCATTTTATTGTAGAGGAAAAAGCGTACAAGTAGTTTCTTTCAAAAACATAAATAGTTGCCATCGAAACCAGAATCTAGGTATGTGTTTGATACTTTTAAATATATTTAACCATAATTTAATTTTCACAATATACTACAAGGACCCTGAAGAAAATTAACTTTAAGAAGACCAATTTTGTTTAGCAAAGAAGGCGAGGTAATCAGTGAAAACAAGATTTCTTCATCTCTCAGAATTAAACATGAATACAGCTTTTATCATGAGAATAACGAACCTTTGAAAATTCGTTCTATAAAACTGAAAGGTGGTCCACGTCAGCTAGCTCATTAGTGGCGTTGGAGTTTGCAATTAATGGAGTCGTTAACCCTTTTGTAAATGACGATAATGTCGAGTCCCTTGCATTTTAATACCTACTTCTTAAATTACAGAAAAGTCATATAGATGCTATGATTATAATTTTGTTTCTCTTTGTTTATTATTTTTCAAATATCATGCTTAATATTTCTAAAGCTTAAAAATCATTTGCAGCGAAACTTTAGTAATTTTAAAGTATGCTTTCTAATAATACTGCTTTGAAACATTGGATCAGACTAACAAATTTAAAAAAAAACACTGTTTATTTTTTCTGGTACATTAAAGTTTCGAGTCTTCGTAATAATTTTTTTCTTTAAAAACAACAGAATTTTTTTAAAAATATTAGCCCTTTACTATATTTTGTTCTCAGCTAAGTTTTTCAAATAACATACGATGTTTTAAAGATATACTCAGCAAAAAGACAAAAGAACTTGTGAATTTTTAAGGAGTTACAAATAGTTTTCTTATTCTTACTCAAAAATTCTTTTACCTAACGTTTGGATTAAATTAATACGCAAACATTTGCATGGAGAAATTTTATAACATTTAAATATCTTTCTAATCTTACATTTTTTTCGTAAATGTTTGTAAAAAAACAGAATTACACTGCCATTGTTACAAAGAGGCCATTAATTTACTGAAACATGTTTCTTCCTATTTGCTTTGATCAGTTCAAATATCCTGTTTTCCATCGAATCATACAGTGATTCGATTTCAGTTTGACCCAAACGTAATCAAGCTCAAGATTGGATCCCTATTGCTTTCTTTTCCCGTATGTCCATCCAACAAACATAGCTTAGATATATTTTACAGATTTATTGCAGGTTATTTGGCTGGCCATAACAAAACTCGAACAATTTTTTTTTTAAAAGAAACAATTTTTCACAGCATTTACTGTGGAAATAGATACACTCTTGGAAAAATATCCAATCCTATTTCACCTAATTTTGATGCGCAATGAATGATCTTCACACTAGTCTTGATTCTTCTGTCTGCCACAGTCAAACGTTCAACATTTGCGACCCAATAATCAATCAGATTTTCCATTGCCCTCCTCCTCCATACAATAACAATGTATTGAAATCAATAATACTATACTTTGACGCTAAGACTACAATACGACTTTAACTACTTAAGTGCCACCGGCGTATATAAACGTCTCACTCAGCCAACGCATTATTTGCCATGGACATATAAGTACGTCTTTCCGAAGTACGATCTTTTCTGCGCACTGCTACCCATAAAATTATTTCGAAGGCTTTCGAATGCAATTAAATGACTTTGACAGAGTTTGTGAAGGATTTACTTATTTCAGAGGATTTGCTTCTTTATTCCTTTACTCCCCCCTTCCATGACATCACATGCGCCACATAGCACGTCTATATGGAGAACGGAGACATTGGGGAGTGAATTGCGTAACTTTTAATCAGCAGTGAAAGGATTAATTATAAACAGTACAAATTAGTAAGATAATTGTTCATTTTTGTATATAACTTTATATATGACAAGCCCATGGGGTCATTGGTCATTTTTTGACTTGTTCTTAACTTAGTACTGTTCAATTAATTATAAAATGCATCGTGCAGTACTAATACGTTTATAAGTGTTATATCAGTGTAAATATGTATTTTATTTTTTATTATGCAGAATGTTTTTTTGTTTACTTTCAGTTAATTAATAATTTTTTAAATAAACTTTTGTTTTCAACTTTTCATTATGATCGCGCCTTCCTTATAGACTTATCACGCCCCCTAGGGGGAGTATCCCACAGTTTGAGAAACGCTGGTCTACCATTTAATAACACTGGACTAATTCTTCCTCTGTTACCAACTTCAACCCATCAAATCTAACTTCACCTTTCCATTTGGCGAATTGAGTAAAATTGTTTGTAATTCTTAAGATTTGCCAGCAGTATTGGTAACCATTGGGACCATCTAAATTTTTTAATATCTGATTATATATTTTTAATATTTATTATAAAAATAAGATTTTTTTAATATCTGAGAATATGAGAAAATTCCAATTAGTAGTATGAGTCGATCCAATCGCCTGGTTATGGATGTGTTTTTCTTTTCGCTTCGAAAGATGTTTTCTCTTTTTGAACTGGAAGCTTTTGTATTCTTTTATGCTTTTACTCACATTTGGTCTGGAGGTATGGGTTAGTCCTGCTTATGTTTTGAGTTTTTTTTAAATGACTGCATCTCTTTTTTACGTTTGAGGAAAAATTTTATTTTTTTACAAGGAAATAATTTTTCTGATTGGTTCTTTTTTGATTCATGAATTTCAGGTTTGCACAAATAATTTTAGAAAAAGCATTATGACCTACTTTGCGAAGCCAGAAAATTTCTCGGTCTCACTTTATCTCATTTTAAATGATTTATGTTTGTCTTTTTTTTGAAATTCATTCAAGGGATTCTTCTTGGCAGCCTACAGAAAAAATATTCACAGGATTTATTCTACTTTCTTAAAATCTAGAAATGAATACATAACATTTTTTTTTCAAAAAAGTTAAATTGGTAGATATTAATTTTACATATTTATCTCAAAAACCTATTATAAAAAGTATACAATACTAATCCAACAGAATAACATTTAACTACAAATTTACACAATATTTCAGAGTCTATCTACTTTTTTTTATAGAGTTTAATTGCTTATCATTCGATACGGTTGTTCAAATATCTTCTTTATATTGATTTTAATCGAAGAAAACTTTGGAAGAATCCACTCTGAACATATCTTAAACTCTAAGAGTTATTTCTATTTGCAGACTTCAGTAACCTTTTAATTGTGCCCATTCCCACAAATACGAAAATAAAAGCACCATTTTTGGACTGTTTCGAATCAGAAAAAGGAAGCCATTTTTCTTTCTGTGAAGGATCATTCAACTCTAATGAAGGTGAACAGTTTTTCAGTAAAATCTCATTCGGCAAAGCCCTGCAAAAAAAATTATTTTTTTTTTTTTTTTTTTTTTTTTCGTTTAAATATTTGCTTGGGAAGTCTTCTAATTTTTTGTAAAATTGTTTTATTTAACAAATAATGTAAAAAAAAAATAAGTAAAAATAAGTCAATTCCTACTTAGACCAACGAAGCAAAATTTTAATATTTAGTTACTTTTTATTAAATAATTACAATTAATATAAATATGTATATACATATGACAGAATCACAAAGTTAAGTGGCAGAATAGAAAGCGATTTCTCTATCTATATATGGTGTTGGACTACAATTTTTGTTTGTCCCTATTTATTCATTCATAAATCACATTCTCAGAAATTAGGCAATCGCATGTAAAATTCAAACCCACGCCCTTTGGATTAGAAGTCCAACGCGCTAACCATTGCGCTACAGGGAAACGAACGAATTTCCTTTCTACATATAATGTTGGACTATTATTTTTGTTTGTTCCTATTTATTCATTTTTTAATTTAATTAATTAATTAATAATTGAAAAAATGTATTAACTGAACAAATAGTAAGAATTGAAAAAGAAGACTCAAATTTGTACGAATTCATTGGTACGAAAATTAAATGAAACAATATACCTTTCGTAGATGTTCTGTCAATGAACTATTTAATTAGAGAATCAATGCTGGCAGAGAGTCGATCTTTCCTCCTCAATCCTCATCACTGATAATTGATACACAAAGTCAGACGGGATCGATTGGTTAAACGATGTTAAGCTTGAATGAAATGAGGGGATATGAGGGTTGAAAAGCTCGTTAGAGTTGCATGTGTTTTATTTAATGCAGATGAATAAATGTTCTACAAGTTTAGCGTACATTTTCGTGCCCTAAATATCTTTTTCAATTAAAATTGATCTTCTTTCCCTTTCAGTAGATCCAGGTATATACAGTCTTACCTCAATTTAACGAAGTCGCTAAATCCCGAAAAACATTTCGTTTGATAGAAAATTTGTTATATGTGGAGGTACATCCCTCAATTTTCTTTATAAGCCATATATATATATATATACGCTATGTATATGTACATATGCATACATAAATGTACTATATGTGTGTGCTTTTTGAAATATGTATTTATTAAAAAAGTAAGCATTCATGCCTTTTTGTAAATTATCACATACTTATTTCATATATCCTAACTATCAATAAAAAAAGAAAAAGAAAAACTACAAGGAACGTTTCTTGACGCCTTTATTCACTTCCTGAAGAATTAATTTTTTGTTCTTTGATGCTCAAGCACGTAAGTTTTGACATTTTAGAGCTACATCAAACGAAATTACCATTACGACTGATCAACACTAAAATAAACAGAGGTTAGTTCAAGGACCCGGTGACACGACACAACTCCACTGAAGGTGAGTAGATGAAGCGATGTTTTTAGTGAGCTGGACAATAGAGGTTAAAGATTTCACTTCTTGGATGAAACGCTCAGAGTTTTATTGTTACGCACCTAATAAAGCCAGTTCAAGATTTATGACCACCGTAAAATGTCTTAAAAGGGAGAACAATTTTGGAATGTCCAGAAACACTTTAAAAACAGGGAGAAAAAAAATTGAATTACAAGAAAAAAGTTCGTTACATAGAAAATGCACTTCGCTATTAGGAGGTTATTTTACGAAGAAAACCGTGAAATGGTTCCAGGGTAAAGCTCACTATATAGTAAAATTCGCAATGTAGAGGTTCATCGTAAGGAGATTCGACTGTATATATTTATAAATTTAGGTAATGTATTTTTTATTAATAATATATCCTAAGTATATATATATATATATATATATATATATATATAAATATATGTATGTGTGTGTGATTATTTTTCTTTATATATTTTAAATAAAGATACACATATAACAAAAAATTTAAAATTCGGGAAACACATTTTTTCTGATTCTCATTCTAGGGGAAACATATATTTTACTTAAAAAGTGTTAATAGGAAGATTGTGAACAATAACATGGATACCTATACAAGGCAAATCTCACTGTATTGCTCACGACTTAAACATAGTTTTCAGTTATTTTGAGGGAGGTATGAGACTATATTATACTTTATTATACCTTAAAACATATTCAAAACATAGATAACCATTTTAAAAAATTAAAATATATCTGCAAAATGTTTTAAATGGCAGATTATTTTTGTTTCTTGTAATAAAACGAAAGTTTACCATGCTCATCAGGTTTACAATTGGAACTTAGTCCAAAAGCAATATATATATATATGAGCCTTCAATTCTACTTAGGTGTGAAGTATTTTTACTTTTTGTTAAGTAATTAAAAATTAAACAGAAATTAAATAAAGAAATTAAAACAACAGCGTCATTGTCTCGTTGAATTCGTTTTTATTCTTTTGAAAACAAAACAAAACTGTTGCCACTCACAAAATACTTAATAACTCTTATCAGAATAAGAATTAATATTTATTATCAGAAATAAGTAAAACCACAAGATGACGTCATTGTGTTTGGGTTTTAAACTGTGCAACAACCTCCCCACCCTGGCCAACCTCCAGGAGGATGACAGACTGTACTGGTCGGGTGATGGTGCATCCATTATCATGCAGCACACAAGTACGGACTTGCTCGTCGTGACCAAGGGTTAACTCCTTCACTCGTGCTCTTTTCAATGTTTGTCGGGGTGTGACGTCTTCTTGTAATAGGACAACGTCCTCAATTCGGATTTCGGAAGTTTTGGCTACCACGCACTTAGTGAAAGGTGGGCAATTGTAATAAGTACTCCTTCGACCATTTCTTCCAAAATTGATTTTAAAAATCTTGTTGTTGTTCAAGGATGCGTAGGGGGGTTCTGTGGGTCAAAGGAATTTTAGTCATATTTTGACCAGTTAAGAAGTGACCCAGGGTGAAGGCTACTTCGGTATCACCAATTACCTCTTCAGACACACTTCACTCCTACCAACACGGTGGAAAGGTTCTCTTCGTCCAACAATGCTCACCCCAGAGTTTTTCGTAAATACTGTTTAATTATTCTAACCAGCCTTTTCCACCATCCTCCCCACCACGCCGCACGTGGTACAAAGAATTTAAACCGAGTACCATTTTTAGCATAAAAATGTTGAGCATTTTTTGATGACAGTGTATTACATAAAGTAATTAACTATTTGTTTGTGGCTTGGAAGGTTGTGGCATTGACCATGTAGATGGTATGTGGAAGTCCACGTCATCCTGCGAATCTACGAAAGGCCATCAGAAATCTATCGGTGGTCAAATCCGATACTAGCTCAATACGAAGTGCAAGAATAGTTGAGCATGTGAAAAGCACTATGTACGACTTAGTCGCAGAATTGGTGCTTCAGACATATACTGGAGCCGCCAAGTCTATCGCAGTTGTAACGAATGGTTTACACGGGTTAAGTCTTTTAGCAGGTAAGGGTGCTTCAATTTGCTTGTCACACTTCGCTCGAGCAATCTTGCAAGGTAAGCAATTGAGAAGTGTTTTTATGGCTTGGTGGCCACGTAAGATCCAAAAATTAGAACGCAGTTTAGAGGGAACTATTCTCCCATTCAAGTGATGAAGTCGAATGTGGATATGCAGAATATAAACAATTTGACGAAAGGATGAGATCCGTCAAGCAAAATTGGATGTTTACTTACTGTTTCTAGATTCGCAAATTGAAGTCTTCCTTCTAATCTTAATATGTTATCTTGTAGAAATGGGTTAAAACGAGAAATCTTCGAATTTGCAGTGAATGGCTGGGCATTTTCAGGCAGTCAATTTCGGCTGCGAAGCATTGCTGTTGGACTATGCGAATCCAATAGTTTTTAACCTTTTCAAAATCATCCGATGTCAAATCTGATGGCATGCGTGGTTGTGATTTGCAGTTGTGCAAAAATCTAAATATCTATACTCTTATACGAATAAGTCACACATTTGAGCTAAAATGAGAAACATCTATGGTAAGTTCAACTGAAGTAGTGCATAAATACTAAGTTTTGACTTTTCGTGCATCGGTAATTGTTAAGGACATACCTTCTACAAAAGAGTACCTTCCTCACCAGTTATCTTGGGGTTCTTTCAGCCATTCTGGTCCGTTCCACTACAAGTCTAAGTTAGAAAGCCTAGCTGGAAGAATGCCTCGTGAAAGATGGTCGGCTGGATTCTGATTTCCTGGGCAATGTCACCATTCTCTTGGGGTTGTGTACTGTAGAATTTCAGTGACCTTATTGCAGACAAATATCTTCCATTTGTTACGATCGCTGCAATTCCACCCTAAAACAACTTGAGAATCACTCCATAATGTTCTTTTTTTGACGGACAGATATTGGTTTCAGCACATAAGTATCGTAATAATCTCGCTCCCATCAGAGCCGCCAAGAGCTCCAAATGAGGAAAGGTAATTTTTCTGATAGGTGCTAGTCTGTTGCGACTGCATACTAAATGCACATTTGATTGATCACCTTTGACGGTAACTATGTACAGAAGAGAGCTGTAGGCCGTCACAAAACACATCTACAGCAAAGGGAATATGTGAAGAAATACCAATAAATCGTTGAATGTGAATAGAGTAAATGCTATCCTATTCTTTTACAGTTGCATACCATAAAGTTGCTAAGTTTGGGGGAAGTAACTCATCCCATGAGATACCTAGAATACATGTTTCTTGAAACAGAACTTTTCCAAGGATTGTAAATGGTGAGAACAATCCCAAGGGGCCGTAGTAGCTAGCAATACAGCAAAGGAGCCATCTCTTTGTAAGCGATTTGTCTTGAACACAGCACAAAGAGAGGTACTGAAAGCATTTCCGAAAGTATCAAGTTTTGTGTTCCATTCCATTCCCAATATTTTATCAATTGTTTCGAATTCTTCACCTTGTTTGCAATAGGTTTTCAGCAATAAAGAGTTAGTAGCCCATTTATGCATAGGAATTTTAATCAATAGCATTAAGTCTGTGAGTTCTTTGTGTAGTGTGTGATCTGAGGCTCGGTCTCCAAACTAGGTTTTTGTCCAGCATGGAAGCAGCAGTTGAAAAATCCTTCATGTGTTTTGAAACCAACTCTCTTGTGGCAGCGCACAACAAAAAGAGATAGCAGGCTAGTCTGAAAGGTAGATGAGTAAATCTGTAAGTAGTTAGTTTGCTTGTGAAAGTCTTGTTCTGTAGCAATTTGTACCAGAAAAATCTAGTGGCATCTCTATCCTTTTTGTGTAAATTCAACTGTA